TTTTTTTTTTTTTTTTTTTTTTAAAAAGTCACTTTCTGTTGCAGCACTGATGCAAAGGGGGTTTTTCAAAATGGGGCTAATTCTGGGAGCAAGCAGCATCAGGACAAAATACAGCTTTTTGGCTGTCTTTGGCAGTCAAACGGTGCAGTGCAACATATGAAACATATTTGAAATACACCTATTTGGTATCATGGAGTTACAGAATGGTTTGGGTGGGAGGGGATCTTAAAGATAATCTCATTCCAACCCCCTGCCACGGGCAGGGACACACCTTCCACTATCCCAGGTTGCTCCAAGCCTGGACTTCTTGGTTTTGACTGGTATTGTTGAAATGTGGCGTGAGATGAAATCTCTCCCAAATGCTGGCATTTGCCTGATGATTGCAGATGTTTTCCCCTGACTTCTGAGGCCAGTTCAGTGCCGCAGCCTGACCAGAACAGCAAGGCAAACTTTTCCAAGCCCTGTGTGTTCCTTATCAGTTCCTTTCTGGTCAAATGTTGTCAGCGCCCTCTGCTGAAAAAAAAAAAGAGAGAGTGTTACTTTTCCAAATATCTGCCTTATTTGTGGGAGTTGGATCTGATGAGAAGGCAGTGATGACACCACCTGAGGTACGGTCCTGCCATGCCCAGGGCCAAGCCCCAAACACGGCGTTGCAACAGGCACTGAATTCCTGCTTGGGCACCTTCCACCAGCCCAGGTTGTTCCAAGCCCTGTCCAGTCTGACCTTGGACACTTCCAGGGAAGGGGCAACTTCAGTAGATATGTCTATTTTTACTTCAATTGTAATACAACAGCACTTTTTTAATTGCCTCTCCCGAAAATGTTCTGTTTCTTAAAAGCACATCGTGTTTTGTGCTTCACGTTCCAGCTACTTGTCAGGGACTGATATTTACAGGAGGCCTGACAATCATTTGGCGTGTTTGCAGTAATCACCCACTTGGTTTTGCTAAGTATGTTTTTACATCAGAACTCAAGTTATTTCCCTTGACTGTGTATTTTTTTTGCAACTGCTGACCTAAATATATATATTCAAGGTAAACAAAAAAAGCACTGGACTTTTTTTCCCCTGGTTTTTAGAATCAGCATGCTGGTGATTTTAGTAAGGAGGTGTAAAATAAGTGATGTTCACACCTGTTGTCTCCAAAAATCATGAAATTCTCACGCTTTGTACTTTAAATTCGTTGTTTGGGGTGCTGGTCGTTACAAGAGGAAACAGCCTCCAGCTGTGCCGGGGGAGGTTCAGATTGGACATCAGGGGAAATTTCTTCGTGGAGAGGGTTGCAAAGCATTGGAAGGGGCTGCCCAGAGCTGTAGTGCAGTCACTCTCCCTGGAAGGCTTCCAAAAAACGTGTGGGTGTGGCACTTAGGGATATGGTTCAGTGGTGACCGTGGTGGTGGTGCTGTGCTGATGGTTGGACCCGATGAACTTAAAAGGTCTTTTCCCACCTTAAGGATTCTGTTTTGAGGTGATATTTAATCCACATCTTTCCCTGCCGTTGCTGCAGATGCCATAAGCTCCACCAACCCCCGGGTCATCGACGATGCCAGGGCGAGGAAGCTGTCGAACGACCTCAAGAGATGCACCTACTACGAGACCTGTGCCACGTACGGGCTCAACGTGGAGAGAGTCTTCCATGACGGTACACGAGGCCTTTTTCACCCACTATAGCACTCAGTTCTTAAATAACCCCCTGTGTCTGATGGCTCAGGAGCTGCCCTGTTTGCCAAGCATTCATTCATATTTAAGTGCTTGCTTCTCCACGAGCGCTAAATCAAACCAAAGAAAACAAAGTTTTCTTTGGTTTGATTTAGCGCTCGTGGAGAAGCTCTTTTGTGCACAGTAGTTGGAAAATTAAATTGCACGTTTGAGTACCGTGGTATTCGTGGGGTGATAGAAGTTGGGAGGTAGATGCCTGGCTTTGAACTGTCAAGAAGTTGGACTGGAAATTGGGAAGAAGATCCTCAAGTTGGAGCTCTGTGCATGAGATGGGCTCTGTGCCCCCTCTAGTGGAATTTTCCACCAGGAGGCTTTGCTGGCTCTTCCTCTCGCTGTGCTTGTCTGTGTCAGCCCCTCATCACAGCGGCTTGTCTGCACCTAAAAACCTTCCTAATTAAGTGTAAATGTCTCTCGGAGCTCCTTAGTTCCGTGGGTTGGTTCCTCGGGGGTTTGTGATTGCAGATTCCTGCTCTGTCTGTGGTTGTGTGGGGCAGTTTCTCACCTCAGCATCTATCAGAGACGTGTACGAAGGCCTCTCAAATAAAAAGGCAACAATTTCATGTTTTTACATGGAATAAAAAAGCAAAACATTCCAAGGTTTGCATGGGGGGAAATAGCAAATCAGTGTCATTTTTGCATGGGGAAAAAAAAAAAAAGGCAAAACATCCTGACTTCACAGCGAAAATTCTGATGTGCACTGCAGTAGTTTGGTTCCAAATAAGATGTTTTTACTTGTCATTTTGATCAGATTTGAAGCTGCATCTTTGTGCTTGGCTCCCTGTTTTCTCTTGAACTCGTTGCAAAAATTACTGTTTTCACTGCCTGGATTTTTCTATATTGATTAGGAGTTTCCAAGAGCCCATTAGGGGTTTTTTTGTTGTTAGCACATTTATTTTGGAGTGCTAGCTATAGTTAGATTTTTAATTACATATTCCAAGTCGTGGTGTGTTTGTGGCTCTTTCTGCAGTCTGCTCCTCTTCTTTTTTTTTTCTTTTTTTCTTTTTTTTTTTTTTTTTTTTTTTTTTTTTTTTTTTTTTTTTTTTTTTTTTTTTTTTTTTTTTTTTTTTTTTTTTTTTTTTTTTTTTTTTTTTTTTTTTTTTCTTTCTCAGGGACTTTTTGAGAGAAGTCTCTTGGCACAAAGCTAAGTGGGATAAACTTGTAAGCTTCCAGGAGGCTTAGCTGTGCGTCTCTGCTAAATTTAGTAGCAAGTAGAAAGAATTGACAGAGCTCATGTGTTTAAGAAATATCAGGGTTTTGTTTTACCTCCATGGCAGGCAACCAACCCCTTAATATTGGCCAGCTAATAGGATTAGAAATGCTTCTGTGTAAATGGAATTGCACTTGCCAGACGTGTCTGGGACCGGATCCAATCCCTGAGAGTTTTTTTTGCTGTTTGTTTCAAGCAGCAAACAAAGCAACTCCTTAACCCCATTAAGTGAGGGGGTGTGAATGAGCAGTGCAAGCTCGATTAAATGACATTTGGGTTGTGGAACTTCAGAGCTGAGCAGCCTGGGCCGGTGGGAGGTGTCCCTGCCCATGGCAGGGGTGGAATGGGATGAACTTTTTAAGGTCCTTCCAGCCCAAACCTCTCTGTGATTCTGTGATGTGACCTGAAAAAAAAAACAAAAAACCTTTCTTGATGTAAATATTGCCAATGAGCCCGGAAAAGAAGGGACAATGGGAGAAAGGGATAGGCTAAGGAGGGATCTTCACACAGTGTGTTCTTAAGCATTTCTTATTATTTTGAGGAAACCGTAAGTCAGGGCCAGAGCCTTCCTAAATTACCTGAGTTTTTCAGCAAGCTTGGAAGGGGTACAGACAATTATTGCATTTCATTAATAGCTGAATGGATAAGACAAGTGGGTTTTTTTATTGTGTAACTCAGGAAAAAGATATCAGCAAGTTAGTAGCTGCTTGCAGGACGTGGAGCTACTACACCTATTAAGATGTTTGCTGTGTGTTGAAATCACATTTAGGCTTTGCTCACAGCTGGATGGGATTTAGGTGTGGGATTTAATCAGTATTTATTGTATTGCAGGGTAGGTGATGCTTGGTGGTTGTATCCTCCAGGTGTTCCTTTGGTAGGTCCATGAGGGTATTTCAGTATGTTGACCAAGGTCCCTCAGCTCTTGGAACTGGAAATGGCATTGAAGGGCCTTTTACTCCTTCATTAAAATACTAATTTTTTCCCCTGCAAGCAGCCACTGAACTATTCGTGGTCGCCTGTTAATGATCTTTATCTTTATAACTCATTTCCTATTTTCTCCACAGCCGAGTGGTAAAATAACTTAACTTGAAGGATTACTGTTATTATGAAAATGCTGCTTTATTCTTGAGTTAAATCCAAATAAATCGTTCCCAACGCTCCATTACAGCCGATAAACTCAGTATTGATTGTAACAGAGACAGAATCCTGGGATCACTTGCACTGGAAAAGACCTCCAAGATCATAGAGTCCAGTGAATGCTGCTGATGGGAAACAGGATTGTGACCATTTGAGAGGGTGTTTCTCAGCCTTCAGCCTTGTCCCACTTGGGTCTAGTGTCAGATACTGCTGGAATTTGCAGCTGCACGAGCAGACCCTGAATTTCAGGCTGAAATGAAAGTAAAAAGTTCCAGGGGATTATCTTAGCAACATGCCCAGCGATGGAAGAGAATAAATTCTTAGTTAGTTTGTGGTGTTTGGAGTTGTTGAACAGGGAAAACGTGTTTAAAAAAAGAAGATAAATGCCAAAAAGTTCCGTTTTTCTTCAGACTTCCCAATTAAGAATTAGTGGATTTTTTTTTCTTTCCCCCTGCTTATCACAACAGATTTTATCAATGACATTGGAAATGATTATTTTAATATTTCTTGTCAGCACAGTATTGTAATGACTGTGTACTGCCCCAGGATGCCTTTCTAATGATTTTAGCCTTCTTGAATTAGCTTGATGTACCATTAATGCATGAGAATTGCCTTTATTTCTGTTCATCGTGTATCCCTAATTACTCATCCCTCCCTGCTTTATGTTCAGATTTTCTCTGACCCATTTAACTGTGTGCTCTGTGATTTCTCTGCCGTCACAGAGAAGCAGACCTTCAAATATTTAGGGGATAAAATTTTTACCATCAGCGTGGCTTGGCGTTGGGGTGGGTGAAACGAAAGGGTTTGGGTCTAACTTTGATCCAGAGTCGAGTCCCCCAACCAAGGGAATTTTACTTTGTATGGCTGGGTGTAACACACAGATTTAGAAATAAAACTGCCCAAAATAGCAATAAAATAGTGAATATTGAGGAAGGAGTTGCAAGTGTGTGATGGCAGCTGCCTCACAGTGCTGTGCTACTCTCATTATTTTTGGATGCTTTACTTGCAGATTAACTAATTTTTTTTTTAAGGAGCGTGTCTGCTCTGTGTAAAATCTTACCAGCAATATTCTATTTCCAGATCCAAATAGTATTTCTAATGTAGGTGTTGAACAAAAGGTGTCTGAAAGGGGAACCTTGAGGTTCTCTGTTAAGGGATGGGAGATGACAAAGGAATCCTGGAACAGAATCCTGGAGTGCAAGGGAAGGGCTGTCACTGCCATCAGCGTTACCAAGGCAGCTTTTATAGATGTGTTTTCATTAGGAAACCCTAATCAGCCTAATGGGAAGTAAATAAAGTCTCAGTCCCATCCTGACAGCTGTTTTGGGGAGAGGTGACATCCACTCGGGCACTGGATGTGGCCTTGAGGGATCCTCCACTTGGCTGGGGGGGGGGGACCCCCAGCGAGGGGCAGAGCTGGGGAGAAGCTCCTTTGGCTCTGGGAATTCCTTGGGTATTTTGGTTCTGGAGCTGCTGGAGGGATGTGCTGGAGCAGCCTGATGACACTCTGGCAACCTGCGTGCCGTGAAACCACCGGGAAAACGATAGTGGGGACGCTGGTGGGGTCCAGACAGTTGTGTTTTCCCGTTCTGTGGTTTGTTTCTTGTTTGTTTTGGGTTGGGTTTGTTTTGTTTTTCACTAAGAAGGAGACAGGAGGGTAGTAATTTTCCCCCTGGTGCCGTGTCTGGTGTTTTAAGCTTCAGTTTTAAGCCCCCCTCCGGTTCGATTCGAGGCTCCGTCGGCGCCTAAAAGGGAGCGTCAGAAATTAACTTTGGAATGAATTAATTAACTTTGGAATTCCGATCCGTGCCGCCTTTCCCGGGAGAGGCCGCCAGGGAGCGCCGGAGCCCCCGCGTAACCAAACCGGAGCATTCCATCGCTTCACCCGTGGAATGCATCCTGGGAAAATCCACGGCAGGAATGTGGGAACTCACCCACCCACCTGACACGCCTTGTTCCGTGCAGTCTGCTCCTGGGAGGTGGCTTTGCCCTGAGCTCGCTCCTTTCAGCGTCAAACCTTTTGCCCTTTTACACTTCCTTTTTTTGCCCCTTTTTGGGCCATCAGTAAAGGAGGTGATTTAGTTTGGGAACGGGGGTTTCACTCCAGAGGCTTTCTCAGCGAATCCCTTGATTGCACAGGCTCATCTCCCCACACGAGCTGGTTTCCAGTTCACCTCTCCACGCCCACAAATGGCACATTCACCAGCTCTGGTGCCGTCCATTGTCCTAGGAAGGTTTCGTGTTAGTTAGTAGGTGAAGTTTGTTCAATATCTGAAATTTTATATAATGCAAAAAGGCATGAAACATGCTGTACAAATTGAGCACTGCCTGGAGAAGCAGGAGCCTGAGGAAGCCTTCGTTCATCCCCTGGCCTGCAAAATGAGTCCAAATCCTCGGATTTGTGTTTTCTGATTGACTAACTGAATTTCACACTTCATACATTTAGTGCTTGAGATGTTTTTCTGTTGTCCCCTGAGGATTTAGAAGGTCTCAGTGTGTTTTCCCTCGTGCCTGGCATCTGTTTGGTGTGAAAGCCGTGCTGTTTGGTGGGACTCACACAGACTTCACCTTTTTTGCCA